ACTGTCTCGTTTTTTTCGGATGCGTCGCAAGACATTTTGTGTGATAGGTTTTCAAGCAACTGCTGCAAACTAGCAAACTCTTCACCCGTTTAACACACATCACACACACGCGCAACTCACAATCTTAACGTGAGACATGTTCGCCGAGGGCGTGCGGTTTTAAGGTCACGCGTTTGTCGGATGATCAGTTAATGCAGCTTGCCGCCTCACCGGTAAGCATGATCAGCATGGTGCACTCGCTGTCAGTAGGTATCTCTTGTAAGCACACGTTACAGTGCTGCTCGGTTAGGCCCGGTTGGTTTGGGACCTATAAATGAATCTAAACACAACGCTGAACACAGATTAAGAAATCACAAATTGCTTCACAGATGCATCGAGAAACATCAAATTAGAATAAGCTTAGGCTTTTCGAACTGCTTCGAGAATTCTGCACCTAATGGTGTTACACAGAAGGACAATGGGCACAAACTGAATGAGTTATCCGCTTGTGTTCAATCACAGATGACAGTCAAATCCGTTAGTGATAGTTAGGACTTAAGTGGTAAAAGATGATTCCACGTATGATGGATCACTGTGTAGATCTGGTAAATCCGGTTCGAATGAGCGTACGGTGACTACGCTGCGAGAAGATAGAGAGGATTATTCCGAATGACCCGGGAGTACGTGCGTTAAGCGTGTGTGTATGGCCCGTGCTAAGCAGGTGTTTAGCGATCGATGAGGCTGGCACATTGGAGCTGGACACCTGTCTCTGTGCATCAGCTGTCAGAGTAACTGCAAGCCATTTCGGAATATGCTCTCCGATCCGCTTGCGCAAATACTGATTTATTCTGACAATGTCACTACTTCCACAGCTAGAGACAAATTGGTAAATACAATGTGTTTTGGCGGAGATCGGTTGGGTCTGCTTGATCAAAGGCGTTGGTAGCTTCTGGGTTGTCCAAAGAGGACACAATTTGGCAGCATTTAGTGTTCTTCGAATTGCAGTGGCTACACCTCTCGCAACTTGCTTTGCTACAACATCTAATTTGAATGGTAAATATAGGTCGATTGGAACGTCTGACACAGTAGAAGACTTTTGTTCATCTTCACTCATACGGCTGTGGAACTTAACGAAAAATTCCGGGTAGTCATTTGTTCGTTGTATCTGTGTAAAGAACTGTAGTTCAGATTCTATACATTCAAGACTACATATTCTGCACACTCGTCGGAAGAGAGTTTTCATGATTCATCGTTTGTACTAAATCGGTGTGAAGATCCGGAAGTTTTCGTACGGTACTGCCTACTTGACTTTACACTAGACAGACCGTCGTACGGGGCCATCAGGAGTTCTGGTCCACAGTACATACAAAAAAGAGAGACAGTAGTTGTTCTGCACCTTACATGCAAAATGGGCATCCGGATGGATGTTGTTCATAGCTTTAAGAAGAGACTGAACAGCATTGATATTTGGGGCGGTTAGTAACTCGTCATCAACGTATGGTTTATACAGATATATCTGATCGATTTATGTTCACAACGTGCTTCAACCATTGTCATGAAGATATCCTCTAGGGTGGGGCCGAGTTAACTCCCCATAGCAACTTCATCAACCTGTCGGAAGGACTCATCTTCGAACAAGAATTGCGCATTCCCTGTACGCAACAAAATTAAATCATCCAGATATTGGACGGGTATTGGTAAATCAACTTCCTAGTTGCTTACAAAATCGCACATGTATTCCACCGTCGCCCCTAAGGGGACGTTGGTAAAAAGGGATTGGAAATCTAAGGAAAACATTATCTTGACAGTGGTGTTTATAATTTCCACATGTTTGCTCACTTTGAGGATCTTTCACAGTGTGTTACACGATTATTAGGCTCATTGGTGCTAACATTCCAATTAACTAACGGATGAGCTAGTGGTATGAGGAATCCGTCATGGACAATACCGGTCTAAGGGGTATTCCAGCTTTGTGTGCCTTTGGTAAGCCATATGTGTTGGTTTTAGTGCGTTGTAAAATATTTCCGTCAGAATTCTGTGGTGCAGTAATATTTTCAACTTGTTGGTAACCACCTTTTCAAGGTGGGTTTCGTTTTTGTCCTTCTGAAACCTGCATTCGTCGCTTAGGACCTCATTCAACTTGTTTACATAATCTGACTTGTCCATGACAACAACTGTGCCCTTGTCCGGCTTCAGAATCATTAAGTTCTTGGATTTCAGATAGTGCCTCCATTTACTGACTGTTCAAAGTTAAAGAGGACAGCTTAATCACATATTTCTGTAAGTCATCATTAAAATCGGTTTACTCGTCGGCGTTTGCGAGAAATCGCTGTTGTGCCTTCATCAATTTCCTCTTCGCCCTGTCAACGAGACTTTTGCAGAAATTGGTGAATTTAATTCGGTAAACCAATGAGAGCTGATTACGGATCATTACAAGTCGTTCGTGCATCTCCACTAACTGCGTAAGAATCCTTGTCTCCTTCAAATAGGACTGCTAGTCGTTTTAAGCTCGTAATGGTAGGTCTCAAATTATTCCGGCGCAAACATATATAGAACTAACGTGGATACTGGGCACTACGTTTGCAATCAGATGGAAAACAGATGCTTAATTTCTCTCTGGCGCTTTTATATCTACTCGTCACGAGTCAATCAAAGACCTATGGTGTCATGCGGGAGTCTTCGTCTCGGCAATTTGAAGCATTGTGAAGCATTCTGAACAATACAGTGAGCAGCTGCATGTTACAAGATGATGCCATTTCGTCCTATCTGATCACACGCAAACTAATAACGCATACAACGATCAATGAAAAGAAACAAATCAGCACGCGTCTTCACATTGTATTGTTTAGAAGGATACAGTGGCCATTATTATCGATTAAGAGAGGGTGCGGTTCTGTGTTCAAAAACGTCTGACAGGGACACTGAATCTGCTGTGGGAGTGTGAAGAACATCAATCAAGCACCGCTTGGCCATCCATTGAGTTTACCTGATGTTGCTTTTGGAACTTCATTAGTCGCACCTACGTTGTATAAGAGGATGTGTGTGATGATGACATCGTGTCACAACACACGTCTTCTCATACTCCTATGTAAACTTCCGCATCGTTCTTTGCCTAGTATGAGCCAATCCCGTGCATGTATGGATTTTCTTAAAAGCAGTCGTATATTTTTGTCGTGCATGTTGCGTGCACAGTCTCTAGGCGTTGTTTTAACCTGTGGATAGTGTAGCGTAAACTCACCTACCCGTCGTTCGCAAACTGGTTATATGGGGTTTAGCCTGCCTTGGTACAGCCGTGATACGAAAAGTTTGTCCTTTGGTTTACCTTTGGCATAATATGGTCCAGGGAACCGTGTGTGGCACAGTTCGATCTATTTACCGTCATCATGTTCGCTCGTGCATTTAGCCTGCTCGTAATAATGACTGAAAGATGATTGTGGAAATGGATGTCACCGACTTCAATAGCGGTAGCTGGTGTTCAGCCATAATGAAGTTGCCCACCGATGCTGTCTCCGATGTTGCAACCTTGATAACCTGTATTACTGAATCCCTGTCGTTATAAGAGCTAGACAGTCAGTTCGGAGCTCTGTTTTCCCGGTGCTCTCCAAGTATGAGCTAGTTTGCTCCGCACTCCTCAATCTCTGAAATGTTATCAGGCGCTAAATGTTGTACACTTGTACGTATACTCAACGTAGATAGATAGATGTATATGCATGGATGTCTATACATAGATGTATAGATGAATCCCAAGTCACAATATCCTGTATGCACATGCTACATACACCCCTGTAATGTGATTAGTGTCCTATGGAATGTTTCAAACCGGTTTCGAGTTTGTGCCTCTAGTTACACAGTTTGGACTTCCTTGGTGTGGTGATGCTATTTTGATGCGAAACAGAGGTTGAGTTGATTCATTTATACCCATGTTACTTGTTCCTATAGGATCTGCTCCGAAGTACGCTCGGTACTGTTTTTAGCCTCAAGTATTCTCCTGCGTCCGATTTAGACGAATGGACTCTGGTCCGAAGTCAAACAACGCAGCCATTTATATTGTGTGCATCTCTTTTCATTAAACAACCAACTCACTATGTGTAAAAAGTGAGAGCCACTGTATTTGTGTGCCTGGTACTTGATTCAAATAATAGTGTCTAGTGTCAGGGGTCGCGATTCCAGTGGTAAACACTCACCTGGTTGATTCCAACCTATGGCTTTTGTTTGACATGAAACGGGATACTGCGTAATGAGAGACCTTATACCGTCTTCTATCACATATGTTCATCCTATCCTTGTGTGCATCAATCGCAGATATCCACAATCAGTACTTACCCTCTGGAAACACTGCGCCCCTCGGCGATTTCTGTACTTATCTTCAGTAGTCAGCTAGAAATAGCAGAACGGTGACTCGAACAAGGGACCTTTGGAATGTCAGGCGAACTCTGTACCTTTGAGCTCCATGGCTGCGGCAGATAACGCTTGTCACAACGGTTATTGACTGATTGGACGGGTCCATTTGCAGCCAGTTTCTGCTTCAGATGCAGTCCCAGGGACCGAATTGATCATACTCACTTCAAAGTGATTCGCGGTCCAGCTTGAAATTGCAACTCGCAATCCACTAACATAACGGTTTCCAACTAACCTCCAAGCGATGTACGCCTTATTTTAGCAGCTACTTGAGACATGGATTACTTTACTGACTTCCAATCATCACGGTACTTCCTCACTAGTTTTCGCCATTCTCTCACCACGAGTGTTAGACCTACGTGGAGTTTCACTATTGGCGCATTGCACTGCCAAAGAGTAAAATGGGCTATTCTTGTGTCCAGCCTTCTAACACCCCATCGGTTTAAGTTACAAAACTACAACACAATTGGTCCATCAAGTGTTAAACCTTTTGGTCACGAGTTTAAAAACAGTTGGATAGAAAAAGTAAGGTAAAAAGGATAATTCGGTTTTAAAAATTGTTTCTACTGTGTGTGTAGTCGGGATTTCACCCCCGTCTCTCACAGTGGTAACTGCATCTGTTTCTCTTGTCGTGCATTACTATGAGTGGTCTCGCTCACTCCAGCAGACATTACTTTAGCCACGTAATTGTTGTTTAACAAAGATTATTGGAAGAAATTGGAAGTGCATTTATGTGACACCCTTGTGCAAAGCATCATACATAATCTTCGTTCCTCTTGTAGGTTTCCCGATTTCAAAGGAAGATCAATGTTCCTACATTCGGGTCTCAGAGTAAGGAGTATTTTGAGTCGTTGACACGCGTCCGTCCGGTGGACTGTTTGCTTGTTGAGACATGAACGAGTCAGGATCTGTACAGACTTCTGTTGTGGGATTGAGCGCACCATGGCTAAATTCTGAGCTCGTCTCCTGTAGGCTATTTTCTCCACCCGAATGCGTTTGTCTACTGGAACTCGAGCGTATTCCTTGTGTGTATATTCCAGTCAGTTTGGAACAAACGGCATTCTCACCTCCGGTCGATTGTCGCTGTAATTGAAGAAAAATTCTTGAGTAACACTTATAGTGGCATTTATTAAAACTTATAAATACCAGAACACCTTAACTTTCTCACACTTTTGTTCCTGAGTTCAAATACGGGACGATCGGTTACAAGCACAACGGCGGGATGCCATCACCTACTAAACAAATCACATGAACTAAAGGGAGGCATCAGTAATTGACTGTCTTGCCGCAGATTTCCCGCTGTCTGCTGGTTTTGCTCGACAAACCAAAGCACCCTTGATTTTCGAGAGCCTTACATGGATACGAGATAATACATTTTCTTTCCCACATCAAATTCTGAGCGAAATGGGTTCGCGTAGATAGACTGCATTGAAGCACATGTTGATTCGGCTCCTGGAGTATACTGCGATGTCTCAATGGTCAATATTCTCTAAGTTTGGGGAAGTTATCAGCCCGCATTTCCACTGATATGTCGAAGTCTCTGTTGTACGATATCGATTCTTCGATTTTAATGCTGGTTAAGAACAGCCCATCCTGGTCTAATAACAGCACAGTAGGTCAATCTGAAATAAGCCTGGAGCCTTTTGACAACTTTCCGTAGTCTACCCGGTCCTCAGAAACGAGAAATACTTCCAGTTAAATGCTTTCAAGTAGTGATGCAACTTTGTAGTTAGGCGTATGGGACTTGTGCAGATTTTTGGCACTTTTCGAAGGGTTATAATTCACAACAAGTTAGCCTTTTCATTAGCAGTATTTGCACAGACTCATGCGTACCTAGTCTTGAATCCTGCCACCTAGTCTCCGAAATTCGCCGAGTTCTCATCCGACAGATAATCAGCGCAATAGATGACGGCAGTCAATCTAGTATATAGCTAAACATCTTCTATTACGACTGCCTCACACTATCCGCCGCAACCTCTGGAAATCAATGATGGGGCCCGGATTCCTCATCGGCCCGGACATCTGCGCTTTGATTACACGTCCCATGAGTACAAAGAAAGACACTCGAATTATAGCTGTTCAGTGATTGAGTCTTGTTGCGGTGGTCTGCGCCAATAAACCCAAATCTCATCTGTGTCACAGTTGCTTTGTTGTCACTGAACTCAACCCGTGTCAGACGGTTTCCTTCCATGTTCTCCTGTGACTCGGTCATTAATAACAATTACCTAGTTGACCAAAATGCCATAAATTATCCGGCCCACCTCTTTGGTGCTTTTTAAGTATGCACAGTTGCAACGTTCGCAATGTCACACTTACCTGGTGTTCTAGTATCTGTGTGAGGAAAAGAAGAAGGGATATGATCAATTATGATCTTACTGACAACTATAAATGACAGGTGAAATTCAACAACAAAGACAACAGGTTCCCGTACTCCTATCACGTGTGCTAACGGGCTAGAATATGCGTGTATATGCAAATAGACATGGTCCGCTGGTTAGGTGTTTTAAAGCCTAAACTATTCGGAGGGAAAAGCCGTACTGAAATTACTAGACGTTCGCTTCTTTCTTAGTGATATCATTCATTTTTCATGGTAACTCCCTTGTTACGCACTTGACACAATGTAATGGCAACTGTATAGACGCGTGCTGAATAAATGTGTCCTCTTGGATTTATTTTATACCTTATTTTTCATGTTGTCGCGACCACTCGGTCAACCGGATAAGGAGGCTTGTTGTCATATCGCTCATCACACATTACAAGCTAGATCATAAGTGATACTCCAAGACAAATTTCAGAGGTATCTGAGGGACGAAGGTGGTTACTTATGGGTGTTGTTAGCTAACAATCGGGCAGCAATGAATCCACCCTGACCTCTTGTTCGTTGGCGTCAACAGCCGCAACTGGATCCCGATTGAGCGCGTCTATGACACCAAGAGCAAAAGTACTGTTGATCAACACGAACAAGTCCCAAACGGATACCACAAGGGAAATGGCCAGTGTAAATGTCAATTTGTAATTAGATAAAATAAGTTCGTAATATAAAGCGAACTTTTATTCTTTAAGTAAAAAAGCTGAATTTGGGGCGCAGACTTTATTTTTGACTCTAAGGGGTCAACTATGATAGTATGTATTTGAATTGTCACTAACGCAACCTTTGGGTACGACGAGCGCTCCCATTCGAGTTTAAGACTCAAGTCTACAAAGACGGCATCTATTCCGATTACTACAACCTTTTGGTTCTTCGTTGTGGCTTAAATCGTGAGACAGGTTACATTCAGATATAGTTTCTTCTCAACGTGCACGACCTGGTGACAAAGTTCCAGTTGTGCTCAAACTATTTTAGTCAAGCATCCTAGTGACCGTCTCACTCGGTTTTAATAATTCATTCAGCTGAGTGCTGCGGTCCAGATGGTTACTTTTTTACTTGATGCGAACAACGTGGCTAGTGTGTGACCAAAATCAGAACTCGGTTGCATAGCTACCTAAGTGACCAGCAATATTCGTTGAACATATGAATCTTCCTAGGCTATCCATTCCACGGTATGCAGGTGTACACCTACTCAGTGAATTGCCACATCGGCTGCGACATCACTTGGGACATCCTACTCACGTTTACACCTAAAGTTTAGTTACAAGCCTCACCTGGTTAGCGATTTGCTGCGCGTGCTCCGAGCGACAATCTGAATCGTGGTGTTGTCGTACCATCGAAGCTCGACGACCAATGTCTTGCAATCGTTCAGCAGCGACCTTCTCCATGGACTCTCTCATATCTGGATGATTGTTGAGCACTTCGTAGAAATTGTCCTGGTTCAAGGAATACAACGTACAATATGTCTCAGCTTGTACGGTTGCCACTCGTCTGGCGTGCGTAAGAAGACAAATCTCTGTAAGTACATGTGGGGTAAGAGAGCAGCAAGTTTATATTGTCGCATTCGAACATGAGGCCGCGGTATCAAATTTGTTCTGTTGTTTTTATCTCGGGGTAAAATTGTAGGTCTCAAAAATACGTTTTCTTAATATCCTCACAGGTCCAAGTAACGGGCCTATATTCGGTGATGTAATTCCTTAAAAAACAGTACTGGTCTGTATGCTACTAAAAAACTATGGTGCACTGGCATTTAGCCTTCTCGAAACGCATGACCGTCGGTGCTCTTAGATAGCAACATTGTATACATAGCAAAGTTACTCCCTAGAAACAGCGCGTCATACCCGTGGGCTACTGTAGACACCGGGGTCAAACATCACCAGATAAGAAGTTATTATGTAGCCCATCAGGCGGTTTGCTAGTATGCGTAGTTATTTCTGTTCAAATTTTACAACGTTATCCCACCAGCTGTCCTATGGTACTGTAAGCTGTGTTTCCATTTTTACTGGAGCCAAAGGGTATTATTGATGAGATACTCTATTCGCAATGCTGAAGTGTTTATTTGCCTGAACGCAATCTTCAGCATCCACTTTAGAGTTTATCTTCCATCGCGAAGAGACTGGACTGTAACTTGGTGTGGTAGTTTGCGTGCTTCAGCGATCCACTGAGCTAGGCTGGGAAGTTATTTTTTGCACGCTCATAGCCACTCACGGCAGGTTGGTCTGTGGTTAGAGGCCAGAAAAACACAGTCGGGAGTTAAAGTTAGACTGGCCTCTTGTTCTATAAAACGAACTGTCTCTAGCCCAGTGCCACAATCCCGCCCTTTTGCAGCCAGCTTTTTGAATCAAATGCTTTGGTTGGGGACAGTAATCGTTCTGTGCAGGCCTAGGCAACCTGAAAGTCAGTTGTTGGAGCACCGCAATATTTGTTGGCGAGCCACTGTAGTCGTGTTCCTCGATATCAAATGTGCCTGCGATCCGGTGGATCAATGTGCCTTTTGGGACTGTCAACTCAGGACAGATGCGCTCGAGAAATATGTAAATAGCATAAGAGCGCTGTACGCGCATATTTCGGGAAGATTGAGAGTTTATGACAAACTGCCGCCGACCTTCTATATCTCCAGCGGTGTGAGGTAAGGTTGGGCTCTGTTGGCTTTCTTTTTTAACTTCACATTTGGTGAAGTCGTGGAAGCTGACTTCACTGGACACGACCTGCAAGGCATCGAGCTACTGGTGAACGACTTCTTTACTTGGATTATGCCGACGACGTTGCCCTTACCTCTGACGGCGTTCAAACGTGCCAAGTAGCATAGGCTGTCAGTCATTTCGGGCAGTGCTTTTCACCCCCGAATTGCAAGTCCTTCCCTAAGAGTGTAGACACCCACCATTGCGCTAACCCTTAGTGATGATCAACTAGAAGTTGTCGAGAAATTCAAGTATCTAGACAGCTATGTCACACCATTGAACTGGAAGATAAGATCACAAACCGCATATCAAATCACGAGGCACCTCACCTATGTTCCGTACCTGTTGCGCCGGCGCGATATCACTCTCGCCCTGAAGGACAGAATTTACAATGCAACTGTTCATTCAACCATACTATATATTCGTAAAACCTGGCCTGTCAGGTCGACAGACATAGCGACTAGTCACGTTCGACCATCGCTGCATTCACAGCTTAGCTGAAATCTGGTAGGAGCACAACGTGAGCAATGAGCGTGTTCGGCACCGTGTATTTAGTGTACGAAGAGGGAGTGAACCACTCAGTATCATTGTATCATGCGCAGGCTCCGATGGCTGTGCCGCATGTTGCGCATGCCAGCACAAGCACTCCGCGTAACACGTTGTTTTGGCGCCGGGGTTGCGTATTGAATAGAAAGTGGGGAGTCCAATCGATGACTGAGTTGAAAGGAATGGAAGTCGACACTTCGAAATTGGCGTCGTTTAGTGTATCCCGACTGCCTGACTGGGGTCCGAATGACGATGATACGCTAGTTGACATGGCGAAAAGCCGATCACATGCGTCTTTGTTTTGAGTTTCTTTGTCCCTCTTCATCCTGCATATCTTCCCCCTACAAACAAGATATTTCTGTTAACGCATAATATGTTACTGGCCTTTCCCCTGCTTTTTGCAATCTTTGGTTTTCAACGTCTTGCTTTTTCTTATATCTTAGCTTCTTATATTGGGGCAAAATATTTGAAGTATATTTCTTACCTTCAACTATTGTTTACTGTTGATGATGATTTTGGTTTGTCTTGGCATTTTACGCTTATCCGGACCCAACGAACGGAACAGACGATTCATGCTGCAGATGTTTGTGTGCCGCATTAAGGCTAAGCTCAGCACGAGAGTATACGGTCAAGGCTCCGAATATCATCAACCTCGCCATTGGTTGGACTGGGCTCATTTGTATTTTTAACTACAGTCAAGCTACTAAGCTGATTGACACCACTGATACGTCGCGGTGCCTCAATATTTGCCATTGCTAGACTTGTTCTACGTGATCACATCGTATATGTTCTGACCATTGTTCGCTGTTAAATTCAGTGAACATTTTTGTCATGAAATACTGCGAATCGCCTAGTGAATGCCACCTTGAATTTTGACATTAACCTGGTTGCTAGGTTGGCCTTCTACGGGTTGTTTCATTGCCACTGGAGCTGATTCGCAGTGTTTTATGAATCTGGTATTTATATCTATTTCCGGAACTTTCCATTTCGGGGGAAGACTTTAGTGACTAGTACTGAATAGTCCTGCCTAAATAGTCGCCCGCAGTCTACCAAAAATGTTTTAATCATGATCTCTTGCACACATTAACGCGGCATTTGAATTTTTTAAATTCGGCGAAGCACAATCCGTTACATTCGCAGAATTTCAGCGGTCACACTGAACCTGTCCGTGATACATTCCAACATGTGCTTTCAGTTCTGTCAAGTTAAGAAAGTTACGGTGTGAACACAGAAGCTCAGTGGCTCCAGCCACCTAGATAAAAATAATTAGCAACGCTGACGTAGGTGAGGTAGGATGCCAACAGAATATAAATAATAAATTTGGAAAAACCACGTATAATACTACTCGTGTTCGAAAATTGGCGACTGGAAGCAAGAAACGGAATGCAAGCAAGATAACACCTCGAACCTGCACCGTGTCTGATGGTCTCTGGGGTTACTGGTGTGGCCCATTCGAGCTTCCCGGTCCGACCCGGTTAAGCCTCTCAGCCAATTTCTTCATACCTTTATGATCTGTCATCGAATTGTCACATCGCGCTTTTGCCTAACCAGGTGTAGCGACAGCACATAATGCACACCTAGCAAAGCGCACCACATGCATACTGATGACATGACCTAGCCAACATAAGCGGTTCAGCTTTACTAGGTATTCTTGTGTGGCGTCAAATTGTGAATTTCATTATCGCATCCACATAATTTGCGCAATAATAATACGAATAAGACCACAGGTTGTATCGCGACCTATAGAAAATACATTTTATTGCACATACAATATACAGTCACGTATGATCGAGGAGGACCAATCACTTAATAACAGCATATTGATCACGTCTTTGGCATCTTTTTGCTCCCTGCCTATTGTCACGTACGCGAATGACTTCGATCCGTTTACTCAGCCGTGCGTGGATTGGTTACCACACAAAACAGCCAGCCAATCATCAGACACACACCCCCGGTCTTGCAACGCGAGTTCCGTGAGTCTTGTACCTTCCTCAATTGATTGATAAACCTCCTGCTGCTTAGACGTCTTCCGCTTGCTAAGATTACGTGTCTCGAAAGCGGGCGTTACATGCTTAGTGGTACTACGTATTAGTGGCGACGAAAATGACGAACCCAATGTTGAATACACCTCCTATATTCTGGTCATCTGCTGGGGAAAAACCGACCTTATCGAATTGGATAAGATGGAGAAAATCATTTACTAACTACGTGGAATTACTTCCTGTACTGAATTCGACCGTTTGTCTTTCTGAGGCTCACAAAGTCACACTATTCAGGCAGGTGCTTGGCGATGAACGTCAGAGACACTACGATGCCCTACAACTGGAAAATTATGCCACCCTCCGTTCTGCTTTGGACACATATACCAATATAAATCGAATGCAACACCTCGACACCACTCCATTGACAGGTGACACCATACGTCAGTGGACCGATCGTGACCCAACGCTATCTTCTCTAGTGCGATTTACAAAAACCGGCTGGCCTACTACAGTTCCCGTCGATCTTAAACCTTACGCACAACGGAAAAATGAATTGAGCCTTCACGATGGATGCTTGTTTTGGGGATCGCGCCTGATTCCACCGCTAAAGGCACGGCCATTCATCATAAAAGAAATCCACAACGCACATCCAGGCGTAGCCCGAATGAAAGCCTTGGCGCGCGGTTATTGCTGGTGGCCTGGCCTAGATACAGAGAGAGAGAACTATCTAAAAACATGTGGTTTATGTCAACAGTATCAGTCAAATAAAGCTCCCGGTCCGGTACACCATTGGCGTTGGCCTGAAAAGCCATGGCAGCGCATCCATGCGGATTACTTTGGACCCATTAATGGTGTATTCTTCCTGCTGCTAATTGACACTCATTCGAAATGGATAGATGTTTATCCCGTTGCCCACCCTACTACAGAGACAACTATCTCCAAAATGCGATCGTCATTTGCAATATTTGGGATACCGGAGACACTCTGTACAGACACTGGGCCATGCTTCACTAGCAAAGAATTTGAAATTTTCATAAATAGCAATGGGGTCCAGCATGTCCGTACAGCTCCGTATCACCCTGCTTCTAATGGGCTAGCGGAAAGGGCGGTACAGACAGTTAAAAGAGGTCTCTCGAAACAAGCACCAGGAACTGTTCAGACGAGGTTAGATCGCTTGCTGTTTGCTTACAGAATAACGCCCTCGGAAGCCACTGGTAAATCACCCGCGGATATGATGTTTGGCGGAACACTCCGTACCAGACTGGATCTTCTGTTTCCAAATCCTAGAGCACAAATGGAGAAGAAACAAGACAAGGCTGCCGTATCGCAAAATAACCACGACTCTAGTTGGCAGCTGGGTGATCCCGTATACACAAGACTTCCCCATGAGCACTGCTGGCAACCCGCAACCGTAATTAAAGGTGACTGTACCCAAGCCGATCTTGAATTAAATGGTCGAACAGTAAGGCGACACTCGGACCATATACGATCACGTTTTGTGGGGACAACAGCAGATGAACGTCTGGGTGAATCAGCAACCGTTCAGCCGGAAACGGAAGCAAAACCCCAGGATTCTTTACAATCGTCAGATGAACCAACGCTTCGCAGATCTCAAAGTACGCATAAACCCGTTGATCGGTTCATGCCAGGAGTATAAACATTTCAAGAGGTGAGGGGATGTCACGTACGCGAATGACTTCGATCCGTTTACTCAGCCGTGCGTGGATTGGTTACCACACAAAACCGCCAGCCAATCATCAGACACACACCCCCGGTCTTGCAACGCGAGTTCCGTGAGTCTTGTACCTTCCTCAATTGATTGATAAACCTCCTGCTGCTTAGACGTCTTCTGCTTGCTGGGATTACGTGTCTCGGAAGCGGGCGTTATATGCTTAGTGGTACTACGTATTACCTATGAATAACAGTTTGATCTACTACATTTTTCACAAATGTTTGACTGAAAAGATAATTATGTTTGTTGACTACTGAATCAACCTCAGTAGTGTAAGCACCAGTGACAGCTATCAGGGTAAGTGAACCGATCGATGAATTTCGGTTGCCTTTCGGAGTTGGCGGCACAGCCCTGAAACAGTTAGTAACACTTTGAAGGTGGGAAGCGCATACCGAAGCGCGCAGCGCTACGCTTCAGCCTACTCAGTGGTTTCTGCATAACAGCTTGGTCCGATCCAGAGAGCATAATTTTTCTTATTTCTTAGTTCCAACTCAGAAGGTGCTGAGAAGATATTCATTTACCTTTAATATTACCGGATTTAAGAGAAAATATGCAAATGGCACAAATCTGGTATACCCCAGTATTCTTGGGGAACTCAGGAATTGGCATCCAACTCATTCTTACCGGACTACAAGAATCGCGGCATAAAGGCTTGGAATGGAATGGTTTCCATGACATTCCTTTCATTGATAAGCAATACCGAATTTGATGTCAGGGGAAATCACTATTATCGGTCATTAGTTTGCGCTTCTTTACTCTAACACCGGTCGAGGAGTAGATGTGGGACCAACGCGCTAGGACCCATTTTGATGACCTCCTTACTGCAGTTGGTTTTATTCTACATGGTTGGCGGCATCCGGTTTCGGATTTGCCTGTCACTGTGGCCAGCCACAGGACGCCTGCGCCTACAGAGGGACCATGGATGGCTTGTGCTGCACCACCCACAGCTCCAACCACACACCCCATATCCAGTGTAAACCCGAAGGAATAAGACCGGGATCCATGTGGATGGGAGCCACGTTTCATCAACGGAGCCGGCGCACACTCCTTCACAGGCAAACACAAGCACACTGTATTTGGGGAATCAAGCGCACACAAGGCGGTGGCTGGACCGTAGTCCGCTCCACACTGAGTGCATGGAACCACTCTTCGAGCCTAGCACGGCCACAAGGACCGTACACCCCATCCCCTCCAGCAGCGACCAACTGTCTCCTGGAGCCAGTGTGGACGAGGTAGTGGGTAATAGACAGGTAGGCACCTTGTTGACATGCACATCAAGCGCAGCCCCACCGTTGATATCAAGCAACAGCCAATCACCTGGAACGACAAGATGAAATAACACAAATCCAATAATGCATACAGATATGGTGGCATAACTCTTCCCTAAATTACCATATGAAGTAAGTTGGTTAGCAACGAATCCGCGATAAGGAAAAAATGTCCACACGTTAGTTAAAAATGCTACAAACGGAACAATAATACTGAAGGTAAGCGCAATTAATGTAAGCAACGGTTTGAGTCCCTTAAGCAGGCATCCAAAGAACCCACTGTCTTGTGGGTAAGGCTATTGAGCCAAAGGCTCCGGGCGGAGTCCCTCAAGCAAACCTCCGAAGCACAACGACCACCTCGCGTGCGAGGTGATTTACACAGTGCTTACTAGTCCCAACTCTGTGTACAAAAGCCGTCAGCGTTCTGGGTACTAGGCGGATAAACTGCGGCTTGAAACCTGAGGAAGATACGTAACCCAAAATCTTTGTTCAGTTTAGTGAAGTGATAGATGAAAAGTCCCTCAAACTGATTATGTGCATTTGACTTCCTACATACATCTATCTGTTTACGTGGTAAGTGGTAATCTAACAAGAACTTATGGGAGAAGTTGGTGGATTGCAGGAATACAGAACCGCCATTTGCTCCAGCTTTTCAGCCATTGGAATGTCGGAAAATTGCAATTCTGTCTAATCGTCGGGATACAATTACACGGACAGTATTTCTATGCCTCACTACACATCATGGTACGTTTGTACAGGGAATAAAATGCGTATTATTTAGCGAAACCCTTCTGAATCTTACCGGTTACTTACCTCCGAAATAGCATCCGTCGGAGAGCCGATTGGCTACTTCACCAGATTTCGTAATTATATTCACCACACCTTCTTGAATAAAGTACATTTTGTTACCAATTGTGCCTTCTTTGATGATCAAGTCGCCTGGTTGAAAGACTTCCTGTTTCAGTTGGACAACGACTTCGGATACAAAGTTTTGGTCTGCGTTGGCAAATATTGGCACTGCGGCTACCAGAGCCCGGCAGTTATAATTGATTATTTGCTATAAAGAAACGGCAGTAATTATGAAACTGATGGACAAATGGGGGGAACTTTTTGGGGTCGATTCGTGCACAACCCTCCTGTTTTACAGCCACAACTCATATCAAACTTCAGGAGTTTTATCTCATTGTTCCCCATAAGATGACTTACTGTTTACTGTGGTATGTGGTTGCACGTATCACAATATGTTATTCTCGCCTACATTGATTTGCGTTATGTAAAGTAACCGTTATTTTTCGTTCTTGTCACTTGTCGGTTGTGATACATCGCTATGCCGCATCCTTTGTGTTACGCTCTGAGTATTGATGATTAGCAGTACTTAACCAGGATTCAATTGTCAACTGACTTGACTACATTAATGAAATCCGTATGATTACTGAAAAAGAAGTCGACATTACATCCCAGTCGTTTTGGTCTAGGCAGTTTGTCAAACCAGTACATATTTTGTCTGCTTGTTGGCTTCGTCTACTTACTACTTCTGTGAACTAATCATCGATTTCCTGATAATCATCCTCTATTGCGTAGCCTGTTGCACTAGCTCAGTACGACATCGACCGGGGTTACTATTTTTGACATCTCTGTAACAAAACGATTTTGTTTATCTGCTTGCGTCAGTCAATGACTTGAATTTCGATCTACTCCCGCGCCAAATACTAATGGGTATTCACCTTGCAATATGTGCCTGTTTTTCATAGAACAATCTTTCCGTGATTCAACCGTTTTGTCAGCACCGGTAGACTTCATGAACCTGCTAGCGTTGCTTCAGTTAGGCTATGCTGAGCTACGAAGGGTTAAACGGATGGTAACCGTTAGTCTTTTAAGTTAAATAGCGCGACTTGTTGCAAGTGTTTCATTCATGCCAAAAGTGCGGTCAGGCTAACATTTGATAATGATCGATTAATCTGCCTCAACCTTGTTTTGCGGGTGTATTGTGGTCTCTCGAATAAATAATCCAGAACCAAAACGCCAACCATTGTATACATTCGGGTTACGTGCTCTTCACATGGTGCAGGTTGAAGCTGTTTGATTCAGCGAACCACTATCAACATCAGTTTGAAATAACTGACAAACCAGTTCGTCTGTAGTCCAGTGGAATACTGGAGTCGGACACAGTTTGGCTCAGAAAGTTCAAATTTCAACATAACTCCTTTCCGACATGATATGCTGAAGCGTCTTTGCACCAATATATTCTCTGTAGTTGCTATACCATCCGCTCACTGAATTGCTGGTATTAGCCCACCAATTAATGTGACAGCTTCTACCTTATTATGTAGTTATGTATGTAGTTAATTAAAACGGGTTTCCATTATCTATGAGACTTTGATCGTTCACTCATGTTCCAGTGCTCAAATCAAAAATATCGCAGTATCTAGGACAATTGGAATATGTGGACAAAGTTGTGAGGAATCTACAGGAAAGAATCGAGTAAAGTAAAGTATACATTCGAGATTGACGAACACATGCAGAATTAGGTTAGAGGAACTACCAGCACATTGGTACTTCTCTTGTCTACCTTGGTCTATACTGTGGCATTTTCGTCTTATCTGGCTCCAACTCTTGCCTTCGGCTTGTGTATACACTGGCATACTAGAAGTTCAAACAACCCAGTTTAAGTCTTCAGGTCACCCTAGCCTGGCCCATAGCCTTGTTAGCCTACCATCTTAACAAACCAAAACAGTTACCGTGTGCTAGAATAAACTATGCCTCATTAGCATTTTGAAAAGCCTACTCTTCACGAATTACAAAGGTTTTATATAGACTATCAAAGCTGTAATTGCATTATTTATTTATTTTTCTGTACACTCTTTTCACTAATTATTCACCGCTTTACTATTCCTTCATCGATTATTTCTCCTTTCTATTCTGTACTACTTCATCCACCTGTTCAACACTTGGTAAATACTGATTTTCACACAAATGTTTATGTTTAGTAGTCATGTTCGCTGAAAAAAAAGACTAAAGACGCAGTAATATAGTTACTAAAAGCTTGAAGTATTGGTAAAAGTGGTGCAAACTCAAGCTGTGTGCTATGATCGATCCGTAATAGCTGGGCTGCGTCTCATATATATATATATATATATATATATATATATATATATATATATATATATATTTATATGTGAAAGTTCGTTGCAGCAGACTCGAAGTCGCATAGTCCTGCACACACCCGGAAGCTGCTGCGACGGATTCCCGAATAATTTGCGTTAAAAATCCCATACTCATGAGTGCACTAAAACATACGCCCAAAAGTTTCGAAGTGTCATGTCTTATGCAGCTAGTCAGTGGACGTGGTGTATTTCGGTGCCAAACCTGTCCTCTGCAACGTCTGTAATTTGCAGAGCGGTGGTGAATAGGACGCGCCATATAGCAGTCAGCTTATAAATCATGACGATCCGATACCCATTTGTGGTCCAGTGATTGGCTGTGCAAACGGCTGGACGTCATAGGTACGAATCCTGATGGATCCGATGGATCCGCACTAATGATGCTACCCATCAAGTTGAAACTGCAGTCTGGTGCTGTTCCGTGCATCTGGGTGATTGTCTGATTTGTATTCTGCTGCGACGAACCCTCAATAACTTACGACAACGCCATATGAGTATATAAACATATATGTGCAACATAACCGACATTACAAACCCTTAACATTGATCGGATACTCTCGTCTATCTGCGGTTTTATTATTATATAGGAACAGTTTAAGTTTCCAATAGAACCATATTTGGTTCCTCGCTTCGGACGCAGTATCTGTAAACAAAAAATAATTTCATTATTCCCTTATCTTTCCTCTCCAATACATTTATCGCGTTTCATTCTGTTGACCTTTCTTTTTCCCCTTACGTTTATCTTAAGGGTATTTCTACCAGAATGTTCTCACGCATACTGAAACCCCTGCTGCTGTCAAGATCTCTGTAGTTTACATGTAAACCTTCTGCTAAAACCCAAATGCATGGCTTAGAGGCGAACAAAGCACCTAGAAGTGTGAAAACTTGCTTCACGTAAACATTCGGATAGTTCACCCAGGATTTCCTTCTCATTGAACATTTTCCCTTTGTATCGGTGTTCATAGTAGCCAGTGATTCGGTGCCTCAGACTTCTGGGGAACTTTTTATATGCCATGTATTCTTCCACTTGCTTTAGCTGAAAGAAAGCGAAATGAATAGTTTGAATAGAGTACTGTGTTTAATCATGTGCCATTATTAGCTCAACAACTATATTTAACCACCGTTCCAATTTTAGTCGATTAGCGTTTATCTTTACTGTACTTCCTTCAGAATCGCAAGCTGTCGCACCGGAACAGATTTTGGTTGAAAAAATCGAATTCACACGAAAAGGCGTCTTGAAGGTTTTACTTCTTTTGACAGAACAATGCATCACATCGCAAATCAGTTAGTGCTTTTAGCTCTTAACTACTGTCGAATCAGGTGCGATGACAGTAAGGTTATTGAATGAAATATGACAAAGTTGGAAAATGGAAAGATGAAGCACAAGCAGGTCTGTAGTCACACATTTGACCTACTGATGGTCTTGAGTAGATGGATATGTAGACAGCAAGACGTAAGTCATACTTATTTTGTTTGCGACTGATACAAGCCAAGGAAGTTCACTGACCGTTGCTTTAACCGATCCCAAGTCCACTATCCAAGAAAGCGAGATGCGTCAGTCTGCCACAGGCCATTGCTCAATTTCTTCAATTAGTTTATCCATATCATTGAGTGATCACGTTGTGTCCTGTCGAATGAGATGCTCCACAAATTTTTGCGTTGATTCAGCTCCCTCATTCACTCACTTTTATAGCAATCCTAAATGAAGCGGTACCATAAGTCGCTTCCAACCATGTACTGAAATGTCTTAAAGTCACCGCGTTATCTTCATTCGTTCTTTTCTTCTCTCTCTTTGCTTCCATCCAGTATTTACTCCTTCACGCTCCAAGCCTACTTCTCAGCTTGCTACTGAAGCAAAAACTGCTTCTAAGTGGATCTTCGCGTACCTGAAGCGGAGCCTGAGGCATACGAGCAATGTGGCATTGTTGGAGGGCTCAGATGGACAGTCTCTAATCTCGAGCACAGATCGTGCGTCCGCATTGGCGGCGCCCTTTGCTGCCGTATTTGGAAGTGACCAGATGTCTGTACCGAGTTCTATGGGTACAGCCCCGGCTGAAGTGGACAGTCTAGATTGCAGCATTGAAGATATACCCATGGTGCTGGCAAATCTTGCGAGGTCGAAGCCTGCAGCACCAGATGGAATCCACCCACTAGTCCTCAACTCCTTATCGACCATCCTCTCATTTTCTGTGATTGTGCTATTCAACAGGTCACTATCCATTGGTTCACTACCAGGCGACTGAAAATGCCCAGTCGTAAAACCAATACCAAAAGCTGATGACTCAGGCAAAGTGGAGGACCGAGGGAATGAGCACCACTGACGAGCCCCAATAGGGCGAAACGCGCCTGGTGCTTTTCCGGACTACGCTCTGCTATGTAGCTTGTGAACTACTGGGATGAAAACGTTAACAAAATTGGATAACTATCGGCGGGCCTGCTTGACCGCTCTTCTGGCAAAGACACTTGAAAAGATCGTGAAGCAATGTCTTCTGCGGCTTCTCGAGTCGAGAAAATTCTTGACGCCCGCACAGCATGGCTTTGTGATAGGTCACTCATGCATTACCACCCTGCTGTTAACGAGGCACTAATGGTTAAATACCCGGAACCAAGCAAATTCGGTCGATGTCAAATACGTCGACTTCATTATGGCTTTTGACAGGGTGAATCACGTGGTGCTCCTCCACCGGTTGAGAGTGTGCAGTGTTGGCGGCTAACTGCACCGATAGATCAGGAATTTCCTTGTTGGTCGAAAGTGGAGAGTCCAGATCAACAATCATCTGGCTGATTGGTATCGTTCTAGCAGTGGCGTGTCTGAAAGCACTGTACTGGGGCCCTTTTGTTCCTGGTCCATGTAAACGGTGTGCCTCAGCTTCTCTGTTCGGCTTATGCGTTGTTTGCAGATGACTTGATGGTGTGAAGAGTAATCCACACCCATATTGACTGGGACCTACTTCAGGGGGACCTCGACCGCCTCTCCATGTTGTCGGCAAAGGTAAATCTTCCGATCAACCCGGGGAAGTCGCAAATCGTGAGGCAGTGTCAGTGTGAGTACAATCTAACCTTCACTGTGACCGGTCATCCGTTGCATCTCGCGCCTTTCGTGAGGGACTTCCGTGCACCCTTACGCCGCGAAGTAAAGTTCATGGACAACATCAATAGGCTTTGCTAAACAAGCCTTCGTATGCTTTGGGCGCTCAAGCGCAGTTTCAACACTTGGTCCGAAGAGATTGCGGTTCGCTTCTTCGACCAATTTTAGAGTATGGCTTTTTCGCGTATTGTCCTATCACCCGGGATGAGGTGGTATAGATTGAGCGAGTGCAGCATGTGGCCACCAGGCTGATTCCCAATTTACGAGGTGTGCCGTACGAAGAGCGGTGTAAGAGTCTACGGTTTTACACCCGATCTTATTCTTGATTGGAAGTTGGCCTCCTCATGACGCACCGGATACTACATATCGGTGCTCACCCCATGTTGAGGCAGCTGCTGTATTTGCGCCTACCAGGTAGCACATAAGCACACCGGCACAAACTTGTTGTACCGGATTCGAAGCTGGTCGCCTACAAACTCTGTTTCCAACGGAGATTAGTTAGTGTATGGAACAACTTACCGCAGCAAGTATTTGAGGCAACGTTGGCTTCGGAATTCACGATATTCCTGGACAAACACTGCCGATATAAGATATATCGAGCGCACTCCAACATATCTTCGTGCCTGTGTGATGTTAAGGGCAGCTACACAGAGATAACTCTTCTTGCTGCCTTCAACCAGTAATCAGTAATCATATCCACATGGAAGTTGAAGGTGAGGTAATCTGTCTTGACAATTTTCTCCTTTCTATTCTTTGATATTATCCGACTACATTTATTTGCACAAACAGTGCTTCTTCACTGAACACAAACATTCAGAGGCAAACGGATTCCCAACTAATTCGTTTCCTCCCTCCGGATAGCCTATACTTCACTCTTGTAGACGAATCGATGCTTACCCTCCATTTAAATGCTCCAGTTAATATACACGCTTTTAGTTACGTAATAAGGCCTAGTTTTCTTTCCATCCCTATCAACGCTCGCATGCATCCGGTGGAGCATGCCATGTGACTTCAGTGATAAAATGGAAGAACCGGAGGGCGAACTAAATTGATGCTGCCCATCAGGAAGATAGCACTGATTTTAAATCGCATGAATCTGCGTGGAAACTGAAAATCGTAAGGCCTAAAAGTGCAGATTTACGACTTATGTACCTCTGGAATTTGTGCATTAGTAACTGTCACGATGTGCGATCTGGATGTTTCTACAGAAGATCCACATACATGAGTTACACTATGAAACCATAGACATGTACGCTTCATGGGCTCAGTCGCTTATCAAGTCGAGCAAACAAATACTTATTTATTTAATCTTGCCCTTGAAATAATTCTTGAATTTTTAACAAAACACATTTTTTCTTCTCAAATTCATCGAGGTACATTCTTTCTTTGAGGCGGAAGCCCCTGTACTCTCTTCGAGTACAGGCTCTGATGGCCACACGTACAAATCATTGGCTCACATATAGTCCTCGTCCTACATTTACGTGGTCTTATCTTAAGTGGTGTGGCCTGAGGTGCTCTAATCCATTCACTAGGTGGGTTATGCCGACCTGTTAATTGTGTCTTAAAAGAATATACTAGTGCAATTATCAGCTTAACGTATGAATTACTATTCCTGACCATCAGCTGGTTTATAAAGCCTGAGTGAGGAATAGTTGGACCAGCCATCTGGTCCCCATTGCGAGAAAAGCTGATGTACCATAAGCTGCAGCAACCTACGTGTAGAAATGTACAAGTTGAATTGGAGTCGGATGCAGCATATTACAGATAGTGCTCGATGACAGCTTCATTTTGTGCTTGTTTTCCAAAGAGCATTAGAAAGATCCCGTAAGTAAAAGCGGTCGTGAATACTTTAAAATGTTTCGCTGTGGGCCTTTCCCATCTATTCACTTCATGACCAACGGTTTCGTCCTGATTTGGACTCATCAGGTAGGGATAGACAAGCTTTGAGTGGAACTCGGCGCATTATGCTTAGTGCCTATCGCAATGGTCACTAGGCCATTGCACTTCGCCAGCAGTGCTTGACATAGCCGTTGAAAGTTGATTTTCGGGTTTTGAAGCACGTGCCGTGTGTCTTGGATTGTGACACGCAATCACAGTTGTGGCCTTGGTTAACTTTGAAGTCAACCTCTGCCAATACGGTCAATGTGGACAATTTGTCGAAACGGACTCTGTGTGTTATAGCCTGTTGACATGCAGGGTTTCGGCTCCAGAAAGTCAGCCTCGACACACACTGCCCATACTGCCTCAGCGGAATAGTGTATTATAGATTGCATCTGTTATTCCCTTTTATTTCCATGTAGTGAATATGTCACTTCTACCTTACGGGTCTGTTAGCTCATTGCTTCATAACTAGCCTATTGGAGTTAACTGAATGACCAATTCTCGCTGTCTTCTTCCTTCAGACATGTTGATTAGAATTCAGACAGAATACGACACCGGGGACCCAAACTACTGGGTGGAATATGACGAACAGTTCTTTTTACTGAAATAGGTTCACACACGAGAGATTGCCTAGGACAAAGCGACAACTGAACTGTGAACTAGAAAGAGAGCACTGATATTTCTCTACGGATTCTGTATTGATCCAGAGAAAGTCAACATAGGCGCATCCCTTCATATTTAAGTCATAGCCCACCCAGTGATGTTCAGCAGGAATCTTGAACAAATGTCAACGTCAGTGCGGGTACGTATCTTATCTCATACCAACCATGGACACTGGGCACCCATGAGGGGATGTTGGGTGCAGATTTACGCAACCATCTGAGCTGTCATGATGGAACTGTGAATAAGGATAGACGCCATTCCGTGTGTACACAGCGCGATGGGCTTCACGAAGATCTGTGAATTCCCATAACCAATGGTCATAATAAATCATTTTAGGAAATCAAGTGTAGCAGAACATGAACACATAAAACTTTAATACCTTCTCATCTTACCTTGCTATCTTCCACTCCTTACACATTGGCTTCCGTATAGAATGACAGTTGTATTGCCTTTACGCATCCGCTGTAAGTACGAGCAAAGCTTTATAACCGATCTACATTGTCTTACGATCTATCACTCTCATCTTTAGTAATAGTTATATAAAGTTAAATGAGCTGCGCTCCACTACGACAAAAACGCGGTTTCCCATAAAGTTGTCTCCAAAGCAATTTAATTAATTCCACCTGAATCATGTGGACGAAATCTCATATTCTCCATGGTCAACTAAACTGTAACTCCTAAAACACACATCAATTATCGATGTGGTTTCTGTTTCGGCTATTTCTGTTATGGTTTCGCACCGATTATATATGCAGAAATCACTTGTCAACTGAAATGGTAAATCACCTAAGGTACGTCGAGGGACGGATACTCTTTCTCAGTTCATGGAGCTACGTGCTCACTAACCTAAATATGTCATACTAGTTGCGGATCATAAACCCTTGTTGAATGCACAACAGGAAGACTGTTAACTTTAGACTTACCGAGGATGCTCCAAATGATCCTTGAACTACGCGTCTCAGAAGTTCCTTACTACATATTCCCTTTCTGTCCTGAGGTTCTCAACCATCTCGGAGGAAAATTTAATTTGCGTCTTGCTAAATACATGCATCTTTTAAACAATTATTGAAGGGTCACCGTGCCTATCACCTTCGGCTTAGTTTGTTGAGTTGAAGTCGCGAATCTTTGACGCTGGGATTTGAGTCACAGTCAGAGATTGATTTTCCTCCACCAGATTCCCTGTCAATATTGGTTGCATCCCAAAGGAACCAAGCAGTGCCACTTTTACTGGCAAATTTTTTAGGAGTAAGCCTTGACCAATTTATTACCATCTGCATAAAACCTATTTGAACCAATCATGGCAAACGACATTTCACTATGCAGTGAGCATATTTACATGATTATATGCGTCTCCATGTCCGCTTGCCCTGCGTTTACTCTCAAAACCACACATACGATTAACTAGATTACAATTACCAGTTCACTCATCCATCAAGATACGTCAACAATGATGTGGAAACAGAGCTACCGAGAAAGACAGACGAAGCGTGAAAGTAGACAGTGTTTACAGTCGTTTTAACAAACCGAGTGATGTCCATGTCGTGAATGCAATTTCCCAGTTAAAGCAACACCCACAGCAGCTGTTAAGAAAAGCCTGGCTGTCTTAGGGACTTTGCACAGGTGAGCTACAATGATGCCTACGCATTTCAAGCATAACTTTTCAAACTACTCGAAGCTGTAGCACCTATTAGCGTTGAACATTAACTGCAGGCAAATTCAAGTTTAAACAAAATGTGGATTCGTAGGTTTTTGCAAAGCACCACTACTGGAGTGCGTGTACCTAATGTCTCGTTCCATCAAACAATTCATTTTGACTAATCTTGGAACGTAAGAAATGCGCAATGAATTAAGGAAGGTGACCAGAAAAGTGCTAGTCAGAAGAGCCAAGCGAATGATAACGCGGGTGAGCAGTTTGTACATCTGTTGGCCTCGAGAACACAGCTTAGAATGCGAACTATTAAGAAACGAATAACAGCTGACTAGCAAATGCTTTACGCTTCACGTGCCGCGCTCCGGCTACGTCGAAATTTGACCTGAGGTGCCAACTGAATCCAATTAACCCAAATCCGCTCACTAAAGTTTAACTCTCACTAATTGTTGATATAAACCTCAAAACCTAAAGCATTAATCGCCTGCTTTGTAGTTCGGTTATCAGTTTGGATCCGTATCGGTCCCGGAGGTATCACGGTGTACTCAGCCAGCGAGCAGCTGGCTGTGGTCGCGTGTCTGCCAACTGTCTGTACAGTGTGCCGGGGTACTGCTGATGCAATTTTGACTGTTTTCGTAACCTACTAACTGTGAATTTGCTACTATCATCCTAAATCATGTACCAGACCACCCGGTTGCCTATAAAACGAAAAGATGGCTGTGACTTCGAGTGGTTTACGCTTATGATATAACACATCTACCTTTGAGGTAAAGGAGTTGGATGTCGAAACCATGCAGACGCACACACGTCGCCTTAATACCACAAATATTTGTTTCACTTTTTACCCACAAATACGTCTTTCTGATCTAGGGTTGATGATTACTGTGCTTCCTCTGTTAGTCGCAGCCAAATAGTGCATACCAGATTTTTCAACTCCATCGTACTGTTTAAGAATCGTAAGCGTCGCCATTATTATGGACAATCTGGAACTATAGTTGTTCCATTTTGCCAAATGGGAAATGCGCATAACCCCCGTTTCACTCCCTAATCCTGAAGCGTGTAATGAGAAGATAGGATTTTCATCATGCCATCTCTTGGGGAACGTTACTAAAGCGTACTCAAGATGAAACCTGATAGCTCAGGTTGTTCAGATAGCGGTTGAACCTCCATTGGTGACTAAACATCTGCAACAATATTGCCGAGCTCAGTGAACAGTTCAACTGCCATCCGTATTCAGTATATTCCAAAGTAGACTTCCATGACAAGGTGTTTGCTTCAACAGATGATATTGCGTTTCTTAATTAAACATCACGCTTTAGAACAGGGAGCGCTGATCTAGAAAGATCAGCTGCACTTGAAATGTAAGTGTGCTATAGTGCTTAATGTGTGTTGGTGGTGTTTCAGTCGTATTATCCATCACTTGGAAATAAAGAATATTACATTTTTGTATCGTTGTTTAGACTGCATACAAAAGTTAATTACTTTGACTAAACTACCGTTTTGTGCTTGCGTTAATTACTTCCCCGCACCAAATTTGGATGTCATCGAACTTCCCGCTACTATGCTAAGTTAGCTCATTGCTTTTCAAACACACCGAATGTATTCATCCAACAATGCAATTTACCATCTCACGGTATTTCCGTTTGGAAGCGTCGAATGACTGGATCAGAGCCGCCGCATGACCGACGAACAGCGCATAGCAAGTGGCTCCTGTCATCATACTGACGATGGTGATCCACGCTTCCGGTAAGCTGCTCGGGGGATAGCGCCCGTAACCGATGGACAGCATGTGGGAAAGTGCCTTGAAGAGAGCCCATGTGTATTGCTCAAACCAATGAGCTTCCTAAGAGAAGAGAATAGGGGTCAAGCAACTATTCTACCACTCTGCATGTTTAATCGCTCAAAGACTTGCAGGATTAACCGAGAAACAAATGAAGGTGATAGGATTTCATTTCCAAACGTTCAGTTCATGCCTCGGCAATGAACATTTGAAGGTATTATGAGAGACAATTCTGGAGTGATTGCTTTTATTGTGCCCTTGCATGGTGAGTTTCATTTTTATTTTGAGGAGAAAGTGTTTACTATCTAACTATCTAACATCCCAATTGTCAGCGCAAAAGCGTGGTTTGACAACATTACCAGTGAGTATGGCAGTAGAAATTGGTCTCTCCAATCTTATTCACCCACAGTACGTCTCTGGCACTAATCTCACACTAGATTTTGCAGCCTACTATGAGAAAGAATGTATTTATATGCAGCACACTTACTGCGCCTGGATCGCGATTCGGATTGACCAAGGAGTTCATCGGCTTAACCTTTTTTCGAAGACAACCTTTTGATACCTTATTTGTTCTCCTGTATTAGTCCATCTGTACAATAGTGTAGCGAAATACTATGGACAGAATGCTCTTGTTCTATCCGTCTCCAGGTTCAGAAACGGAATAATAATAAACTGCATTTCCTTTGTTAACTTTCTTAAGAAGAGTGATATCAACAACGCGCAATTCAGTATTTATGATGAGTTAAGTTGATCTTTTACTGCCGAAATGTGAAGACCTTTTTTGTTTAAAAATGTTGCCAAATCGGTGGCTCAGTACATAGTGAAAACAGTTCGAATAACTTGTGGTACCGTCCGATTTGCTCTTTCATATCTACATCTCTGCTGCAGAGGAGCCTTAGGCTAGTAGGACATTTCGTCCCACATAAAGTCTGATAAATCACGCCTGGCTGAGCCACATCATCTACCACCTGCACACAAACCCCTATTTCATTCCATCTGAAAATGGAAAAACGTCCGTCCAGTTTGTAGTGAAGATTGTTGAATCGCGATACACTACTGAAATCACTAATTCTGTTAGATAGTTTCACATGCTAGATACTATTATACATGATATTAGAGCAAGGTAATCATGTATACCGACGGCATACCTTGGGCTTATTCGGAGTAAGCTATTAGTCAATTTCTACCTGAGTTACCTGGAGGTCGAGTTATCTGTTACCCGATTTCCACATAAGCCTAGCTTCATTTTACTAGGAATTCTCACGAAGCATGGTTCTATTTGCCTGAGTTGAACATCATTATATGAGTAAACCTGGTTTGTTTGATCCCAACACTGTTTATTGAAGATGCATCTTTATATTTGCTTTGAACTGGTCAGGCTACGTTTAGCGCAAATTTTAATGAGTATATTGAAGCAACTGTGGGCATTTATACTCCATTACTGTTTTAGTCAGTTTATGCCCCTAGCTGTTATTTACACAATCACACTGTCATATTTATTATTTTAACATGAGCATTAATCATTGCCATTGTACTTACTTGCAGATGAGACTTAGAGACCCAGCTTTGCACAGGAAAGTCCATCAGCATGGGGACAAGGAATTGCAGGCAAGCGTTCCAGTGACCCAACAACAGCATGATAAGTACTAGATTGCAAATGCCCATGAATTTACTTGCGATGTTCACGACCTATAGTGAAGGGACAATGGGATTCGTTAGATTGTATTACATGTTTTCATCGTAACATAGGTGCGTTTGCACTGGCGATAAATGTAACTTCATGCAAGTTTTAGACAACCATTGGTCAAGATATGTGTTACAATTGGATGTGACTAGCATATTTTACGGACTACTGTAAAACCACATTTACTATGGTCACTTGCAGTGTAAGCAATTAAAACTGTGAAAAACAGCAAAACTAGTTAACAGCGGCAGACTCAGTTTTCTACGTTTGTCCGAAGCCTATTATAAACTTCCCTAATCGTATATATATATATATATCGTCAAGAAGGTACCTTATGCACCGAGGAAGGGTATATATATATATATATATATATATATATATATATATATATATCATTTGGCTGGCTTCAGTGCGGAAACGATCGTTTCGGTTTGTGCATTCCAGATGTGACGTACGCTGAAGAAAAGATATGTTAGCGACCCGCCACGCCACTTTACTACTCTTCTAGTTACAAGGATAACGATATTGCTGCTGAGCTGCAATAAGGAGCAGCACACATGATCCGTATCATGCTGGAGCATGTAGGCTATTATCAGTTCGCCTCGATATTAGCGATACCGTCTGTTGAATACTCCCGATCTTTTCAGCATCTGCTGGTATGCGATTGTGAATTCCAATAACGCACTTGGAAACCCCGCATTGGAGCTGCTGCACATTACTGAATTGGTATTTAAACCATAGCCTCCGGGAATGGGGACGATTTTATGTGAGCACTAAGCGTATGTCGGGAGATAGAGGTGGATATATATCCAAAACCTCCGTCCAAACAGTTCGAACTGCTATTCACCACATTTGGATTGCCTAGAACAACCAAAGTCGTCCTGAACCAACACACCGACGTCACCACTGCAGCTTTGCATTCCGAGCTTCTAGGGGTAGGCGCTCTAGGGTCGTATAGAGAATACCCTGCATTTCCCCACGTTTAATCGCAGTATATTTTGTGTAGACTTCCAGTGTACCGTATAAAGATGGCACTGAAGTAAACGCTGGTCGGCATTTATCTAAATCCTGCGCCATATCTTGATATCGTCGGTAAATATAGGAAACTCGAAGCGATCGCATGTGTGATCTCATTGATACACATAAAAAACAAACTGACCTCAAAAGTAAGGCCTGCTGAACGCCGCTCCATGCTTTTGCGGGGGAGGATAAATGGCTTCTAACTCTGAACACTAATTGCAGTTGGAGGAGGGAGTTGGAAATCTAACTCAGTGAAGGTTCACTAACTCCGTACTGCTAGATCTTGGAAAGGAGGATATGATGCTGCAGAAGAGAAAACGCACTCGAAGCATTAATCTGCTCTCTGGCGTCGACCGACTCCACCCAGCTGATCCGTGCTGTTCTTAAATTCGTGCTGCACGATCGCTGTCGACAGTATCTCCGCTGCTGGAGAGCGGCAAAGCTTCAATTTACCTTATTAGCCACTACCGTAGTGTCACTAATGGTTTCCATGTCCTTGAAATGGGAGGAAAGATGCTTAGCGATAGTTTAAGGATTCGGTCTTTCTTCCTTCTTTATGAGTTGGAAAGCCTTCACAATATTACACATAACCGAAACCTGATATTGGTCCTATCGCCTAGAAACAAGCGAGTCAAATTTTCCGCCAGTTCCATTTCTGCTACCTTCAGCCTTTTCTAACAAATGGTATCCGTTTCAGAGCAATTGTCCATTGCATCGATGTCAGCTAATGTATCACGGGTTGAGTGGTAAAGGCGAAACTTTTGCGACTTGAAGTTTGGGCAACAGCTCAAAGGTCGCATGGTGGCAAGACGCACTAAAATGTTACGGCAAATTACATCCTAAGCGCGTTTGCTGTTTCTGTAGCTGGTCTTGGGCCATCAGATCCTTGACATCTTTCATGGGCCATTGTTGTGTTTAGACTGGTTTTTGGTTGACATCTAAGATTTCGCCATATTTTACTGAGGTAAGATTAGAACTTTCGGAGTGTTGTGATAGCGTTAGGCAACGTAGTTGTCCAAGTTTCTGGTGTTGAAGATAGCCTATTCACTCGAATGCTGTATTGTATACGAGCATTTATTTGCACTTTCCGGTTCTTACGAAGAAAACTGTTAAGCACATTTCAAACTCGCCTCTGAAGCATCTATAATCACTTCACTGAATCTATGGACCCATTCCAGTTAATAATGACATCGACAAACTGGGTCATGGTATGCTATCTTGTAATTTTGCGCATTACTTTAGGGCTCTCATTGGGTTGTTCTGCATGTGAAATTATTTTGAAAAGTACACTTCATGATTACTGCAAACCATAGAACAGTCCACAGCTATCATGCCACTAATATGTTCTTCGTTGTTGTACAGAATATCGAACACAGATGTCCTGTTGCCCGTACTGAGCCTATTGGGCTAACTGTAGCTTATGTAATGCGGAACATTGGAACGATATTCCTGCATATGTGTTTTGGAATGTTCTCTATTCTTGGCAGTGGTTTGTAAACAGCGTACATTGATATCCCCTATTAGATGGAGGTGATTATGTGTACCGTTTAGATCAGGCTTATGCCGGTTGGTAAGTGGCAATATGTATCGAAGAAAAATCATTCATTCATTCAGTATTTTGAAACATTAGGTTTTATTTCTGTTTATATCTTCCGACCGTCCATTTGTTCAACTGATTATACATACCGGTCACTTGCGCCTCCGGTTAGTCACACAGCATACTGCTGTCTGCTTCCGCTTTCTATTCTTTGTAGCTTTTGTTAATACACGTTGTGTCCATACGATCTAACTGTTCTCCTTACTTCTGTATTCGGCACGCCTCTTACTTTCCTCCTGTCGCGATTAGCATCTGAGTGGCACTGCACAATTGGTGATCCCGATTG